ACACAGCAGTTAAATGGTTAACAGAAGTCTTTAATGAGTCTCTATCAGTAAGAGCACTTAACAGCAGTGCTAATTAACAAAACAAAAGAGCCTTCAGGCAAGTAAACAAAAAGGAGATAAGCCGGATCTTCCAGGACTTGAGCTCAGCAAAAAGGAAAGCAGGAGTTAACATGAGCGTGAGGCAAACTCAAAATCAAAACAGCTTCTAAATCAAGCAGAGTTCAGAGCAATAATAAAGTCCAGTAAACAGTTGCGTAGTCCAAAGACGATTCCAAAATCAGGGGCAGGATGAAGTCACTCACGTAGCACGGTTCCGAAGTCAAGACACACAAGGCAGGATAGCTGGATACCAGGGACCCAAACAGAAGTTAGGCAGCACAAAGCACATAAACAACACTTTGTCTTCTGCAAAGTTACACATCCCAGCGTTCCCAATTTATGGAGAGTCACTATCACTTTATTGGCTTTCATCACTAGCATCTGGATCATTTCCCTCAGCTGCTGCTTCATTGCCACACCAATGCTGCCATCTTTGATCCAATCCCTGATCCTGCCAAGATGAACCTGCCTTTCATGTATCCTGGAACCCTTCGAACTCGTCACTGGATGTGGCTTGGGTGCATATGTCCCTATTGTTCTTAACAAGAGTCCAATCCAGTTCCTCCTCCATTTCTCCCTCACTGGCTTCCAATTCACTTGAACTGGAATTGTCTGCTGTATCTTTAAGCCTTTTACTCAGGGTGTCATCATCACTGTCAGACTCACTGGCAACACGCTTTTACTCCTCAGTAATCTGACTCTATTAGCTCCTCAGGGCCGAACCCTGCAAAGTCCTCCGAATCGCTCGGGGCCAAAATGATTTCACAAATGCGCTTCAGCTGACGCTGATCCAGCTCTGACTCAGTATCACTCCTCCTTCTCCTGCGACTGGTAGTAGTAGATTCTCTGCCAAGACGCTGAGCCTCAACAGTTTCTCTCTAACTCCATAATGTCTCAGATCCAAAACAAGAGGAAATACTTCCACACATGACATCTCTTCAAACACACAGAGTAGAGAGAAGTTGGAATGCAAAGACAGAAAAAGCAGAAGCCTTAAGCAAAGCCATGCAAGCTAAAGAGAATCCATTCTACACCACCAACCAGATGGGAGCAAAAAGAGACCACAAAAGAGAGAACAAACATAGACATTCCAATGGACATTCTGGAGCCAGAGGGGAAGGGATTCCCTCACCTTATTCTAAAGCTAACTAACCATTTGTCATTGGGAACTGCAGGCTTGAGCAGTGTCGAGTTGAATGCCAACAGCCCCCGAGCTCTTGAAGGTGTCAAGCAAGTGGCATACAAGATGTGGCAGAATGCAGCACAGTGATGGAAGCGAAGGCTTTGAGAAGGCAGTAGGCTTGGGTAACCACGGAAAAATTTGTTTCTAAACTCGTTTCGTTTTTAGGGGGCCCCTGCGTTTGGTTTTTTTAAAGAATTCTGAAATTTTCCTTTTAAAAATTTCGAAATATACGAAATTTCGTAAAATTATGAATCGATTCCTTAATGGCGGACGCGATTGCGTATTGCGCTAAAAACGCTAAAAACCATCTCCAAATGGGACAGGGGAAACTTCTGAAGCTTCCCTCTCTCTCTGTTGTTGACTGTTGGTGTGATAAAACAAACAACAACTATAAAACTTATAAAACAACAACTATAAAACGAAAATAATTACGAAAATAATTACGAAATAATTACGAAATAATTACGAAATAAATTGGAAAAATTGTTTCGATTCTTAATTACTCCTCACACTATTCCTGCATGGCTCAATATTGGATCGTAAGCTAATTTAAATACAAATTAATAACGAATTACGAAATTAATGAACGAAACCGCCCAAGCCTAGAAGGCAGTCCACCAAATCAACAGCCCTTGTGGGCTACTTTGCCTCTTCTTTGTGAAGAGAAAAAGCAGGGAAATAACAATAACAGTGGTGGTGGTGATGATGATGATGATAGATGAGCTGTTCCACTGACAGGCTCCAATATTAATGCACAGACCTCGGAGTCCCAATGGTGAAGAAAATGTCATCGTAAAAGATTTTATTTATTTATTTATTTATTTGGAGTGCTTCTACCCCGCCCTTCTCAACCCCCTCGGGGGGGGGGGGGGGACTCAGGGCAGCTTACAAAAAAAGGCACAATTCGATGCCCAACCATTCACAAAGTACAATATACAATTTACAATTTAACATCAACAATTGTCACTAGTTAAAACATCACATCAATACAATAACAGTAATAGAATAATCCTGTGGCCAATGTTCGCCAATTCATAATTCCATAATCCATCCCGCATTATCATTGTCTTTTCCTGCTCTGGTCGTCCTTGTCTTTGTCCATCTGCCAGCTTACCCAAAGGTCTGGTCAAACATCCAGGTTTTTAACTTCCTCCTGAAGGAGAGGAGGGATATTGATGACCTAATTTCCCAGGGGAGTGCATTCCACAGGCAAGGGGCCACCACCGAGAAGGCCCTGTCCCTCCTCCCCACTGAAGCCAACTCAGACTTTAGGGGGGTCAACTCCAAGGAGAGATGACCCTTAGTTCCCACCAAAGAGGGAATGCTACCTTGGCAAGCCTTCAGGGAAGCCTGATTCCAGAAATTTTATTGATATTAATAATTGAAATGTGACTCTTGCCAAGGCGAAGAAGTGGCACRGAGGTGTCTTTATTAGTGAYTCAGCTGAGATCGGATGCATTGTAGGAATAGTTCCACTACAASCATAGAAATACAGAATTTACTGGCATTTTTATAGAGAAAACACAGCAAAACCTTTTGAATTTCCCCCACCCCACCCCTCTCCSCCCGGCTTCGRGCTGATTGGTTGGCAGCCCGAACAGCTGGGAGGAGGCTTGGCGGTCRGCCTCGCTCTGGGCCAATCAGCAAGTTCCTCCGCCTCTGGAGGGCCAATCGGCGTGCTTTTCTCGCTTCCGAGGATGGACAAATCAGAAGAGAGCAGGGCGGGACGACCGCGGACAATGGGGGAAATGATGGGATTATAGATAACCAGCCAGCTGGAATGCGAGGCTTTGTCTTGGCTGGCAAGGTGCGATCTTCATAAAAAAGGCTTTCCTGTCCTTGATGGGTTTTGGGTGAAGAAAACAAACAGGATCAGGGCTGCGGACCTCGGGGGAGATCAGCGCTGCCCTTTGTAATTTCAATTATAATATCCATATCCCCATAGACTTCCTCATGCTCAGAGAGCGAGAGAAGGAAATCTTAAATGGCTATTGTCCATGCTGATGAGTTAATCAAAAACAAGTTTCAAGGGAGGCAGGGGTCCTGCCTCAGGCATTTCAACAGTCCTGGGCCACATTTTTTAGGGCAAAAGTCAGGGGGTAAGACAGGAGGACAAGGAATGTTTCATAGCAAGATACATACATTCAAATCATAAGCATTTCATTAGCAACAAAACCCCATCTTTGTCCAACATCCCAAGTATATTTAATAAGAGGATTAATTTTCATGAAGAAGCCTGAAGCCCAATGTTTTAAAAGGTCTTTGAGGAAAGTTCATGAGGGAGATAGTATGTACTGAAGTCCAAGACATGCAGGCAGAGAGTCCATGATCATTGGGAAGGCTGGCAGATGAAACCCCAGCTGTGCTGCAACTGAGTCACACTTTGGCCCTTGGGAAACTACAACTCTCACAAAAGGGCAGAAGTCCCAAGATCCAGCCATTTCCCAAAAGCCTCGTGGGGTCCTTGTTGTTGTCAGTGCCTTGGCAATGTGACCAAGACTTAACCCTTGTTGTGTAGTCTGGTGCCCTTGCCCTTTGCAGACTATAAGTCGATATCCCATACTTTGGGGGGGGGGGAGCTCGACATCACCACCAGCCTCACTTGTGATAAAGGTGGGGCTGAGAGCAGGGCCTCCCAAGAAAATCTTAGAAATGCTATATAGGACCATAGGTCCTATTTGTAAAGTGTGTACACACCAAAGTATAGGTCTTGAAAAGAGCTTTGTAATAAATTGGCCTACCCTAAAGGGTTGGTGCGTAAGTGGTTGGTGTATAAAGGGTTGGTGTAATGGCCATGTTCTAGAGGCATTCTCTCCTGACGTTTCGCCTGCATCTGAGGATGCTTGCCATATATGCAGGTGAAACGTCAGGAGAGAATGCCTCTAGAACATGGCCATATAGCCCCAAAAAACCTACAACAACCCAGAATTGGGAACTGTTTCTTATATGAAAGATACCTTATTGAGGAGTAATAGTTAATAGGCCTCTATAGTGTTTAGAGTGCTGAAGGGAGATTTCAATTTTTTTAAAAAAAGATTCCTGTTTGGATTTCTGTGTGTGGATCAAAGTATCCCTTATTTTTTGGGGGGGGAGGTGCATTCAAATCACCCTGACAGATGGCCATCCAGCCTCTGTTTAAAAACCTCCAAAGAAGGAGCCTCCACCACACTCCGGGGCAGAGAGTTCCACTGCTGAACGGCTCTCACAGTCAGGAAGTTCTTCCTCATGTTCAGATGGAATCTCCTCTCTTGTAGTTTGAAGCCATTGTTCCGTGTCCTAGTCTCCAGGAAAGCAGAAAACAAGCTTGCTCCCTCCTCCTCCCTGTGGCTTCCTCTCACATATTTATACATGGCTCTCATCATATCTCCTCTCAGCCTTCTCTTCTTCAGGCTAAACATGCCCACCTCCTTAAGCTGCTCCTCATAGGGCTTGTTTTCCAGACCCTTGATCATTTTAGTCGCACTCCTAAAATGATCTTTCCACTTCTCCTCTATTGATTCTTCCAGCTTCCAAAGAAGTCTCCTTTCCCCGTCGGATTCTCTCTCAATTTGCTTTCCCTTCTTTCCGTTCTTCTTGTCTTTTATCTCACTCCTTCCACTCTTGAGCAGGTGGACACTCCTTAAATTCCACACTCAGCTGGGGGTGAAGGTTGGGCATACCAGGCTGCTAAAGAGGGGAGAGATGGGGGAAAACAGAGAAGAAGAAGACCTGGGGAGGAGAGGAGAGAGAATGCAAGAAAGAGAGCCCAGGACAAGGAGGTATTGCAGAGAAGACGTGGCATTGGGGGAAAGGGAGGGGGAAGAGAAATGAAGACAAACAGGATCTCACCACCACATAAAAGGAACGTGGGGCAGAGGAAGGTGGGAGAAAGTTGCTGCCTTTCCATGGTTGAGGTAAGCCTTACCAGCTCTGGAGGGGGGCCTCTTTCTTTGAGTGAGGGGTGTCAGGGATTTCTGAGGGGCACCATTGGGTTGGGCAGGCTGGGTGTGATACCAGATACCCCATGCCCTGCCTGTGGTGCATCTCTGAATGCCCACACACAGTCTCACATTTTCTCAAGATCATGTTCCATGCACCTGGCGAACATTGGTGCCCTTCCAGACTTGCCATATCATTGGCTCTTAGTGTTCCTAAATCTGAGCATCTTTAATGTGTTGCAGTGATCCTGGCTGTTCTAGCAACATTCTCTCCTGATATTTCGTCTGCATCTATGGTAGGCATCCTCATGGTTTCCTCCTTTCTGTTGAAATTGTCCACATGCTTATGGGTTTCAGTGGCTTCTCTGTGTAGCCTGACATGGTGGTTGTGAGAGTGGTCCAATTCTGGGCACCACAATTCAAGAGAGATATTGACAAGCTGGAATGTGTCCAGGAACCCTAACTCTCTGCCCCAGAGCGTGGTGGAGGCTCCTTCCTTGGAAGCTTTTAAGCAGAGGCTGGATGGCCATCTGTCAGGGGTGATTTGAATGCAATATTCCTGCTTCTTGGCAGAATGGGGTTGGACTGGATGGCCCAGGAGGTCTCTTCCAACTCTTTGATTCTATGATTCTATGATTCTATGGTCCAGCATTTCTGTGTTCTCAAATAATATTCTGTGTCCAGGTTGGTCCATCAGGTGCTCTTCTATGGCTGACTTCTCTGGTTGAAGGAGTCTGCAGTGCCTTTCATGTTCCTTGATTCGTGTTTAGGGAAAAAGCCCACTATATGGTTCAGATGTGTGGATGACACCTTCGCCATTTGGAGCCATGGAGATGAAGAACTAAACAGGTTCCTAGACCATCATAACAGCATCCACTGAAAGATCCAATTCATCATGGAAGAAGTAAATGAAGGAAAACTGCAATTTCTATATGTCCTATTCAGCTGGAAATCAGATCAACAATTGAGCCACACAATTTACAGAAAACCTACACACATATAGATACTTACAGAAAAACTCCAGCCATCAACCAATTCAAAAAAGAAGCACAATTAAAGCCCTGCAGGCCGTGCAAAAAGAATATATGAAGCCCAACTCCTCCAAGGTGAACGGAACCACCTAAACTGGGGTCTCCAGGCCAATGGACACTCCACCACAGACATCAGAAGAGCTGCAAGACCTAGAACAAGCCACAAGTCAAGACAAAGATCCACCCAGAGGAAAAGTGTTCTTGCCATACATCAAGGGAACCACTGACTGCATTGGGAAGCTGGTGAAAAACACAACATACAAACTATCTACAGACCCACCAAGAAAACCCAACAAATGCTATGTTCAGCAAAGGACAAGAAGGATCCTCTCACCTCTGTAGCTGAGGTTGTGTATTTTGTCCCAGTCCTGGGAATTCATCTTTTGGCTGCTGTTGATATGGAGGTGCAACAATTCCCTGTCTGTGTTTGTGAGTTCAAGTGGTCATAGATATGTTCCAGGCAGTCACAGTGAGCCTGTGGTGTTCTGAAAGTCCTTTTGGCTGTGAGAAATTGTGGGATTAGTATCTGTGTCTCTGCAGCGTAGAAGGAAAGTCAGAGAGCACAGGAGATGTGCTTTCCTGGTCCTTAGTTTTTCCAATGTTTGATCTTTTCCAGAATCTTGCATGGGATTGACGTGAGGCTGAATGGACAGTAATTGTTTGGGTCATCCTTTTTTCCCTTCTTGAAGATTGGGGCCACATTGGCCCTCCTCCAATCTCCTGGGACTTCCGTTCTCCAAGAACTCTCAAAGATAATTGCCAGTGGTTCTGAAATGACTTCCTCTAGTTCTTGCAATATGCTTGGGTGTAGTTGATCCAGCCCTGGGGACTTGAATTCGTTTAAAGCAGCCAGGTATTCCTGGATGACTTGTTTAACAAATTGGGGTTGGATTTCCCCGAATTCCTTGTCCACTTCATGTTGCTGAGATTAGGGATGGCTTTCTTTTTGTGAGAAGACTGAGGCAAAGAAGGCATTAAGGAGTTCTACCTTTTCCCTATCCCCGTCTGCCAGCATTGCCCCAACTTCTCCTCGAAGAGGCCCTATTGTTCTTCCTTTTTCTACTAACGTAAGCAAGGAAGCCCTTTTTATTATTTTCAATGTGCCCGGCATGCCTGAGCTCATTTTGTGCTTTCGTCTTGCGAACCTTTTCCCTACAGGAGTTGACTATTTGTTTGAATTCTTCTCTGGTGATTTCTCTCCTTTTCCACTTCTTGTGCATGTCTCTTTTGAGTCTTAGCACAGTTAGAAATTCTTTGGACATCCATTCTGGCTTTTTTTCACTTGTCTGATTTTTCTCTTTGTTGGAACAGTTTGCAATTGCGCCTTGAGTATTTCAGTCTTGAAAACTCCCATCCACCCATAACTCCCTTGTCTTTTATTATCGGTATCTATGGAATGCCGCTCATTTCCTTCATTTTTTGGAAGTCAGCTCTCCTAAAGTCCAGAATGTGGTTTGACTTGTCTTAGCTTCAGCCTTCCTTTGCAGCGTAAACTGCAGGAGCACATGGTCACTTGCCCCTAAGGATCCGACCACTTCAACTGCATCGATCAGGTCCTCCATGTTTGTTAGGATGAGATCGAGAGCAGCCAATCTCCTTGTTGCCTCTTCTACCTGCTGGACCATGACATTGTCTGCAAGGCAAGCGAGGAATTTGTTTTGTACTCTTGGCCAAGTTTGTTTTCCAGCAAATATTGGGTTGGTTTTGTTGTAAGAGGTTAACCTTCCTTCTCAGTTTACTGCCCCTTCAGAAATGAGGACCAGAATGGTTGCATTGTTGCACCAAAAGACAGTAACACAAGCAAAATGGGAAGCAAGGAACAGACACCAAATTGTGCATAACTAGATTAAAAAACTGTGCATGACTAAATTATAAAACAGATGGAGATTATTTAAACTTTGCCTACATTATTCAGAGAAAAAAAAGAATCAATTAATGTTGTCTATCCCTTTGCTTTACAGTGGAGCAAAGTGACTCTAAGCCTTCTCCCTCCTTGGATTTGGGACCCTTCTTGCTTCTGCACCCGGAGATGGAACCCTTGGGGACGTGCACTGCTCTCCTGGTCATCGGGATAATATCCTTCCTTCTTCTTTCTGCCATCTGGAATAGCAAGATGTACAGAAAAGGAACAATGCCCCCCGGCCCCACTCCATTGCCCATCGTTGGGAATGTTCTGCAGCTGAAGGGCAAACACTGGGATGAGGCATTCTCCAAGGTCAGTGGAAGAAGCAGGACCATCACCCCCTCCAATACATTTCTCTCTACTGAATTACATTGTTTATTTTGGCACAGCTCTCTAATTCATTAAAGTCATTATTTTTGTTGCTGCTTTATAACTTAATCCCTTAGGATTGTCCATGTTTGTGTGATGATGTCATTCTTTCAACTATAGGCTGCCCCTGAGTTACAAATGTCTCCTAGTTAAGAACAGGGCTGAGACAACAGGGAGGGAGGGAAATCTATCGTTCAGAAGGAAGTTCACTCCTGACGGGATTATCAAGGGGAAAAGTGTCTCCACTAAAGCTTCATATCCAATCCTTGTTTCCATTTTTTTCAAAATCCAATTCTGACAGGGACAAAAAATGAGATTAGATCTTCTGAACAGAGACACAGACAGCAAAACAAACCCCACAGGGGTGTTAAGTCTAGGGACTTTTCAAATTATAATCCGGCCCTCCAACAGTTTGAGGGACTGTGACCTGGCCTTCTGATTAAAATGTTTGTGGAACCCTGCCCTAGGCTATTCACCTATGCTGTTTACCTCACCACCTCTAGGGATGCCTGCCGTAGATGTGGGAGAAATGTCAGTAGAGAAGTGGGAAAAACATCAGAAACATGGCCATGCAGCAACCCGGTCTTCTAGTTATTTACAAGAAATGATAAGAAAACCATCAGACATAGGGGCTTTTCCAGGTTTCATATCACTTCTATCTCGCCTATAGACTAATTACACCAAGGTGCATTCATTTCCAAATTTGGTCATATGACAACCTGCGGTATGTCTCTTTCTTTGTTTTTCTCCAGTTTAGTGAGAAGTATGGACCCGTGTTTACACTTTATTTGGGGACGAAGCCTGTTGTGGTGCTGCACGGCTATGAGGCCATCAAAGAAGCACTTGTTGACCAGGGCAATGACTTTTCCGATAGGCCAAAACTACCATTGGCAGAAAAAGCCCGTAAAGGAAAAGGTATGCAGTTCTGATTTATCTATTGCAGGTTGGAGCAGTGTCAAATCCCCTCTTAGGCCCCTTCCACACAGCTGAATAAAATTTCCCATTTTCTGCTTTGAATTGGAATATGCGGCTGTGTGGACCCAGATAACCCAGTCCAAAGCCGATATTGTGGAATTTTCTGCCTTGATATTCTGGGCTTTATGGCTGTGTGGAAGGGCCCTTAGACATGGAAACCCACTAGTAATTTTGGGCAAGTCACAGTGTCTGAGCCACATAAACAAAGACAATGGCAAATCGTTCATGGATAAGTCTAATAGTTTGAGTATTGCCTTGGACCTGTCAGATAGGCTAGAGATGTATCACACCTAAGTTGATATATGTTCTTGGATGCTCATCATGGAAGTTTGCACACAAACATACATGGGTCCAGCAATAATTGGGTTGGAGATAATTATCTCATTTCAGACTGTTATTTTCCTTGGTTGCATGCCAGTCCTCTACATATCTGAGTCCCCTCCGGGTGAGAAGGGCGGGGTATAAGAACCCGAAATAAATAATATCTCTACACATTTCGGATGGTAAAGGCACTCTGTGTGTAAATATAGAAATTAGGCATGTGTAATCCATTAAAAAGGTTCAAAAATACTTTCAAAACTAGAGGGGGGGCTGGTGCTTTGTTTCTAAAGTGTTTCTAAAACTTTGGAGCTGAAAATTTCTGAATTCTAACAAAACTTATGAAATTTTGTTGTTGCTTTGTTAATGACGATTGTGAATGTGCATTAAGGAAAACATCACTGTCAATAGAGAAAATTCAGGGGCTTCTTTCTCCCTCATTTTTTTAGCTATCTTGATGAAATTTGCTACAGTGGTAGAACACATTTACCACTATTAGCTTTTCAAATTTCAGAACATTCGACGTATCCACAGATTTTTGGTGAATTTTTAATTTTTTATTAAAAACATTTTTAATAATAAAGAAAATCTGTTCCTGATTTGAAAGTATTATTTCCTGTTTCAGTGTGTGGTCTTTACTATGAAAATAGCTGTTTCACTCCAAAAACATTGTTTTTGTGGTAGAAACTTTGTTAAATTGGGAGAGACTCAACAAAACAAAATGTGCTATAGAACAATGTCCGTTGCACATAGGTTGCACAAGTTTTTGCAGTGTAATGAACTTTCACCATGTTTTTATGATAGAACCAATTAGGAACTGCCATTTCTAACCCAGGAACAGAAATCATAGTACAGACACCATCAAGGGAGATCTAGACTGCCCCCAGTATTCAGGGCAGAAAGGCACCTTCTAAAGTCGCCTGGCATCCATAAGCTTCCTCTATTGAGTTGGAGGGGACACTCAAAACATATCCGTATAGGTCATTAATTATTTTACAGCCTGGCACAGAGATTGGCTTAGAGAAGATCAATTTATCCCCCCAAACAGTGACAACATGTTAGCGTGTAGCAGAGTGTCGCAGAAGCTCAGAATAATGGACTCTGGAGTCTCCGGTAAAAGCAGGTTTTCAGCTTTACTTAAACAGCTCAAAATAGACAACATACACCATCAGCGGACAGACGTGAAGAACACAAACCGAAAGAGATAGGAACTAATACAAACTGCAGCTGGAAGGAAGTTTATCTCTGGCACTCCCTAATCTTTCACAGAGCAAGAACTCAGGGTCACATTCTCACAGCTTGTTACTTTGCTGTTTAACCCTTCTGTGTCAAACTACATCCTGACAATACAATTCTGTTACAATCACAACACTATCACATAAAATTACATTGGAACACACATCATACATGAATTAAACACTGACACAACAGCAATCCCCTTGAATGCCTGTCTTTATGACACACAACCACATAACTTAAACTTAGCACAGATTTATACTATTGCTTACTTACTTTAGCCCTCTTTGCAGATTCAATCATTTTATTTATCAACATTACTGACTCTAAACGMSTGGCTGGCTGGCTGCCCTCCACAGTGTCTTCCTTATGGCAATTGGGCCAAAGTAAAAGGARTGGTTTTTTWAAAAGCACTTTCTGTTCTCTTGGCTTTGCAAAAGTTGCTTACTGCTTGCTTACTTTAGTCCTCTTTGCAAATTCTATCATTTTATTTCTTTTATTTAGACTAACTCTCAATGGCAGCTGCTGAGGCCAGCCCTCACTTGGGTCCTTGAACCCCATTTGTGTCCTGAGC